ATGGTAATATATGAAATTATATTTAAAAAATAACATTAAAATAAAACATTTTTATTTTTCGCCCTCATATTATAAAGTTTCATTTTGGCAACTTATTATACAATATTTTGAGTCTGAAAAATAAACAAGCTACTGTTACGAATTGTACAGGCACGGTAAGATGCCTTCCCTGCAAAGCAGTTTTAGGGTTTCCATAAAAGGGCCAAGGAAAGCAGAATTGTCACATTTGGCGAGAAATCACCCATTTGGCGACAAAATTGGCGATGTGCCATGGACGGATGGAGAACCTTCTGGAACGAATTCTTACCGGTTTAGCCCAGAATGTTATCGAACACAAGCCAAAAACTAAATAAATGCTGCTGGTCCGCAGTCAGAGTGTGCACTTTGTCTGGCAAGCTGATAGTCAGTCATGTGAGAGTGCTTCGTCTGGAGTACGAGATAGTTGGTGTCTCGTCTAGCAAGTCAGTCCGTGTGGAGTCAATCGAGTTGATAGCCGGGCAGCGAGTGCCGAGTGGGTCCTCGAGTGCATCGAAATGACTGAACCAAAGAGTCGAGAGCTGTGCTCTGTGTGTCGTTGAGTGCATCGCAAGTTGTATCGTGGAGTTCCGAAAACGACCGAGCAGAGTTGGGAGCTGTACTCTGGTGCTTTGCAGTGAAGCTGTCTCCACCATGGTAGCTTGATAACCTGAAAGCTGGGTTGCTGATCGTGCCAGCATGCTTATAACAGTTCGACGACTATAAAAGTGTTTTGGAGCTGTCCTGATTAATACCGGCCAATAAAGTGTGTTTGGATACTTCATCAAGTTTCGTAGTTATTCACTCCAAATCTACGAACCCCATATGAACGTGAAGGAAGTCTATAATGTAACAACTGGTGGCAGAGAAGAAAAAAACGCAATAGTATAATGCTATAAAGCACAGTTTATGAAAAAGCTCTTAGCAAAAGGAAAATTAGTTATGTAATTAATTAAAAAGGTATTTTTTTAAATTTTTTCATAGAGTTTTTTCCATGTAATTGTCTCATAATATTCAAGATTATCAGAATATGCACCAGTTTTCTCTATAAAATTAATTTTACACTTCCCTTCCTTTTTTTTTTTTCCCAAAATATTTCTGGCTTTTTGATGTTACATGATTGGTAGGGATAATTTTTCTTTAGGATTTTAGACATTGCAGCTTGGAAAGTTTAGAAGGATTTGAAGGCAAGATTTATAGACTTATGATTCTAGAAGCTTCGAGAAATATGTGACAAAATGAAAAATGTCTCCATGGTATCAACACATAATGGATGGTTTTTACAGAAAGTTTGCAATGAATTTCTTACTTTTTGGAGAATGTCTGGAAGAACAATGAAAACATAATATTTGAATGTTTTACTTATGATATTAGAATCTTAACATGTTTATCTTCCTTTTATTTTCTCTACTTTTCACTAGACACAAGCATGGAAAATATCAGAAATGCTTCTGATCTTATCACATGGACAGGCATTATAGAAATGGATTTTTTTTATTAATAAAGAAATTGAAAAATTTGGAAACGTGTGACGTGTGATTGAAGATTGAAAACGTGTTTAATTATGTCACCATGAGCTGTAATTGATTTTGCTAGCATCAAAACATGCCTTTATGTTCTAAGTCCTTTTTAAATAAGAGGCTTATTTAAACCTTTGTCTGATATTGTAGTTACTTTCAGACATGGCAATAATATGCTTCTTGTCTGCCGGGGGTTTTGCACTATAACTTTTACCAGATCAAGTAAACCCTCATAGGTACATTGTAGAAAGGTTGACAAGTTAGAAGATAAAGCACACAGAAATTAGCGAGAGCATTGGTTTGCATATTGAGATTAATCGTTAGAAAAGATGCTTAAAGAGAAGGAAATCGATATAAACTAGCCAAAATGTCTGCGAAGGCTTCCAATTAAAGTGACGGATAAATATTTTGTTTAGTATTATTGTTACAAAACATAAATGATTTATAGTTTTTAATGTGTAATTATCCTAATATTGTTTAAGAATCAATGTCATAAATTACATGTATTTTAAACTGTGAAAGGTTTTAAGGTTTTGATTTTAATAGAGCTTTTTTAACAAATATTGTTAAAAAATAAAATTTAATAGTGATCATGTAAATCTTTAATGACTGTTATCAAACTAAAAACATCAAATTAGGTGTTAAAAAACTAATTTAAATATCAATAACTAACTGTATACCCTTAAAAATTATCTCTACCTATTAACCCATTAGCCGCTGGCGTTGCGTTGACGCAACAGTCAAAATAAATGAATATATAAATATAACTACCAAAGATATTTTATACCAGCAGATGATTTTTTGTAAGGAATATTATGAAGATTATTTCTGTAAAAAAATATTTGCCTTCAACAATCATTTTGTTTATATTAATTAATCTCATACTTTAAGTAAAACTTTCAACCAGTTATTTTTGCTGAAAATATTTAACAAAAGAATCACCATCTTTATGAGTGATCTATTTGTAGTCTAGGTCACCGTTTATCAGAACATTACATCAGTCAATGTTTATATTTGTGTTGGGAAGGGAGGGAAAACAGGTGTTGCGTTGATGCAACGTTAGCAGGAAACTGATCAATCTCCTTTTTCACTCATTCCTTTCAATGTTCTGGTTGTTTAAAAATGTCTAGAACGAGGTATCTTACATTAAAAGAAGCCCTTCAAAGGTTTTTTGATGAAGAAACAGAAGATGATAATGTTAATAATGACCAGAATGAAACTGATATTGTTGTTCGTCCCCCAGAAATTGCAGAGGCTAGTGACGAAAAAGAAAGGAATGGCAATGTTTTAAATAATGATAATGATATTTTACCAAATGATACTGTTGGGGAAGTTGAAATTCACGTAAGAAGTAAGTTAAAGCAGTTAGAGTCGTACTAAAAAGTTTAAAAAGCAGAAGACTGAAATCTTAAAGTGGATAAAAAAGGAACTGTTAGTTATGTCCCAGGAAGAACATGAAGAAAGAGATAGAAGAGAAATTATTAAAAACACAAAAATAAAGGTAAAACTAGTGCACAGATTTTTGATTTTCGTTTTGGTTTAGACATTTACTCTCTTCTCGTTGAACAGACAAATATATATACGCTCAGCAACAAAAAAAAAAAAAAAAAAAAAAGCCCTGAATTTATTGCATCTGAAGCCTATATGAGAAGATTTATTGGATATTATTGCTTACAGGATATCATTCTTTACCTCAAGAAAAAATATAGGGTCTTTTGATAAGGACATTTCTATTCCTGTTGTACGAGAATTGATATCACATTTGCAGTACAGAGACAGGAATATGAAGCATTATTTGCATTTGAAAATAGTCAAATTGACAATACTGATAAATTATATGAGGGTGGAGACCATATCTAAACTTACTAAATATCACCACTTTTTACTACTGGAAATATAAGTCTCTTTTAGATTTCAGACGCGAGAATTGCATTTCCTTTTGCAAAACTCCATTGAGAGTGTAGAATTAGCCAGAAATAGATCAGCAACAGGAAGACCTAGTAAATTCAGCATTCAAAAACCATTGCATGGAGATGGTAGACATTGTATCATAAAATCCGTTGATAACAAAAGTGTTGTAAAAGAGTACCATAGCCAGGGACTGTTTATAGATGCAAAAGTATGTAATGTAGCTTAACATCATGATTGTAATCAAGCTTTTCATGTTTGAATCTTTCAAATGAAAATAATCTGTATTTGTAAAGAAATATAATGTATATTTTAATATTAAATTAATTACAAGTAAAGTGATTTGTAGATTTATAAAACATTATACAGCTAAAAAGTAATCCTGCGCTCCACTGAAAAGAAACATCACACGAGTACAATCCTACTCACTAAACATCCGTAGTCTTATTCCGCTGACGTTGCGCAAACGCAATACTCGATTTTTCCACAGGTAAGAGCATTTTTTTAATTTTCAATGTAAATTTATGTTATAAATACTTAATTTAATATTTGTTATAATTTTCATGAAAAGAAAAGAAACATTTCTTGTAGTTTTGGTGGTTAATGGGTTAAAGTGAGCTATTGCCTTTCAATAATACTCACTGTTGTCACAAGATAAAATACAAAAATGTAAAAATTCAAGTAATTCTTTGCATCTACTGAGACTTAAAATAATACAAAACAATTTATCACCTCTGGAGCTTTATTGCCTTATTGGAAGCTTAAAGTATATTAACTAAGTTACAACCCCTCGAACTCTACACAAAGCTACGACACTGCATGAAACAGAGCCTGACTAACTTTCAACAGTTGCCAAACTCGTGCCTACATCAGGCCTTTCAGGTTTGTTCTAATCAGCAGGTCTCTCTAGACAAGCAGCACCAGTGATAACATTCAGTCTTTTGTTATGAATCATGCTGATTATGATCTTACTTATCATTTTAACCTAAGCCGTTTGACATAAAATCTACCTGCTATTACACCTCTAGACTGACCAAGTATGTGACAAAATGAAATATAAAAAAAATTAACATAAAGCTAACTGTTAGTAAAACGTAAATGCCACTTATCTTCTTTCAAATATGACCAACTATTTATTATAAGTGTAAAATATTTAGTGCTATTTGATAAATTGCATAAAGGTTATTTTATTCTCAAACATATTAATACTTATGTTCATTAATTCATGTTTAGTAATAATGCATACTACTTAGGGATCTATTTTTATTTTTAGGAAGTGTTACAAAAGTGAAATTAAGGCATAGATAATATTTTTAATTGAATTTATTCAGTTCCCATTTGCTCATAGGTCCTTAATTTTTTTCATTAATGATCCTTAAAAGTACTTAATTTCTGTGTTCAGAAATGTGTACGAACCCTGAGTAGGCAGTTCTTATATATATGTGTGATAGAAAATTTTACAGCAAAACATCTCCCGTTTTGTGCAGTTACTGCTTTTATTGGTAAAAATGACAATTAATAATTTTGTATATTAATAAGATTATTTCTTAATTTCAGGAGTGATACTAAAGAAGATATATTTGTTCATCAAGTATGTTTGTCCATTATCATTATATATTTCTTATTAACAAACATATTAAAGTTTTATTTTCTGACTGGGAAATATTTATGTGAAATCTAACATTTTTTAAATATGTTTCACTTTATCCAGAAAAATTCATTTTCTACATTGTCTGCTGTTGTTTTCTTATTTACACTAAGTGACAGTTGCTAAGGAACAATTTATTCGTGCAATTTTTTTTCCTCTAGTGGCTATGCAATCACACGAAAAATAAGAGTCAATAGTATCACGAGGCAAGACATCATATCTGTGTAAAAGACAGTGAACTCGTTTGTTACATTGTTCATAATTTCAAGTAGTATTATTTGAGTAAAAAATCATATTGTTTTTTGAAAATATTAGTGTGAATTTTCGTTTTTTATGGCAAGTATTAACTGCAGAATATCTGTAAAATGTCTTCGGAGTGTATACAATTGTAGTCAACCAATTCAACTTCTGAGAGGGCAAAGCATCACTCAAGATGCTACAGCAGTGCGTGCTTCAAGGAACGTTATCTTGTTGTTAAAGAAAGCTGCTAAAGGTGGAAATGCTGTGTGAAAGCATGGTGGAAACTGTAAGAAAATCACCAGATCTTAAGGGAATAAATCTTTTATCCTAAAAAATCATCTGTTATCGTTTTGTACAAAAGTGAGCCCGTTTATTAGTAATGAAAATGAATTGCAGTGGTACTCCTGGCCAAATTGCTGCAAATCTTACCAGTGCTATGCATATTAGAGAAACATTTCTTAGTGATTAAACTATGTTGTCTAATATGTATAGAAACCTGTTGCTTACATTCTGCTATGAGCATGCCATTTTTTAGATCAACAACAGTGATCTAGAGTCATTGTTATCTGATGAATCCCATTTCACCATCAACACTCATTCTGAATATCAGCTGTGAGGAGAAAGGGGCAATGATTTGCCGTCATCAGAATGTTTGGAAAACTGATCATTTTGGCCAGTAAGTAATTGTGTGTAGATATCATGCACGGTGGCAGAACTCGTCTTCATATTTTTTATTTTGGTACAGTGACATCACAGTGATATTGCACAAAAATTCTCCTGGGTCATGTCCATATGCAGTTAATTCAGAATTTCTGTTCATCCTTCAGCAGCATCCTTGAACAGTATCCTTCAGCGTGAAACAGTTGAAGAATCTGACATACGAGCAGAAGATATTGGGTACATGACATGGCATGAATATTCTCTGGCTCTAAATCCTGTTGAGTATTGGGTGCATTACATGGCATGCATATTCTCTGGATATAAATCCTGTAGAGCAAATGCACTTGGCATCTATATTGCTCAAAGGTAGAACTTTCTTAAACTGTACAAGAACTAAAATTCTTCCTGACAGCAAATTATACAGAATCTCTCAAACTTTCCCCAACAGTGTTGTAGGCAGCATGCATAAAAGATGGTAAATATGCATTAATATCGAAAGAGCTCACTCTTTATTCTGATGGTCTCATATTTCTGCCTATTTTGAGCTCAACGAACATTTTTTTGTAACTGTCAAACTAGCTTTGAGAAGCATCTTTTTTTTTTTTTTTTTTTTCCCCTCTGTTCTTGATTTGCTCATGGCAACATGTATTTCAGTTCTTTAGCAGTTGTCAAGCTATGTAAAAAATTTTGTAATTTATTAATAGAATTAAAAGTTTGATATGAATTGATAATCTGTGAAAATATAAATAATTAACAGATAACTAAAAGATATGAAAGTTATTATTTAAGCCTCTGTGGCTCAAAATATTTTGTATATGAAAGTATTTATGTCTTACGTTTATGTTTTAGACTGCAATAAAGAAAAACAATCCAAAAAAGGTTGTTCGAAGTGTGGGAGATGGCGAATTAGTTGAATTTGATGTTGTTGTTGGAGAGAAGGGAAATGAAGCTGCAAATGTAACTGGACCGAATGGCACTTCTGTGAAAGGTAGTCCTTATGCTGCAGATAGAAATCGATACCGTGGCCGATGGTTTCCTAAACGCCACTTCATGCCACGGCATAGAGTAAGTTATTAAATAAAATTTGAATTGAATTTCTGAAATTTGACATATATTATTTTACATCTAGTTTTGTTTCATATATATGATTCAGATGTTTTTGAACTCTTAACTGTTAATATTATTCATTCTAACAATGTTTCCATTGTTATGTGATTATTGCTGTTTTGGGGTAAGTAATACTAATATATCCCATCCTGAGCCAAGGGCTCATGTCCATTACATATCAAATGTATTCAGGAAGAAGTGGAAAGAAAATACTGTCGTTAGAACATCAATCTCATGCAAGAGCAGAAGTCTGCTTTGGTAGAAGCAGAAGGATATGTACATCATTATAAACAGCCATGCATGATATGATCAGCACTTAATAATAATCATCCAATACTGTGCACCTGAATCAGATTAAATCAATGGTAAAGGTGGGAGTTTTTTAGAGTAGAATTCAGGAACTTTTGAAATGCACTGTATTATGCATGTAATTCTATCAAATCTGTGTTAAAAACAAATGCAACCATTATTTTAGTTTTCTTGTTATAGATGTTAATACAGTCAAATACCGAAAATCCGCCGACCTGAAATCCACGTTGCCTCTCAAAATATAAACGTTAAGTTAATAGGTTTCGGAAACTGCAACATAGAGTACAAAATATCGAAGAAAAAATACTTACCGGATAATGACATCATAATTACCGAATAAAATGAGTCATAACGGAAATACCAAATTATTGAAATCACAATAAAAGTTTTTTCCATCCAGTCGCATAGAGGTAAAAAAGCAGATGATTACTAACTAATCTTTAAGTACCGATTACATGTTTTACTTTTGACTTTTATTTCAGAGTTGTTAGTGCGCTTTTTTATTATATTTCTTATTATTATTATTATTATTATCAGATATTTGGGTAAATTAAGAATATTTTAAATTCAGCACTTTTTAATAAGACGTGTGGTGATTATGGCAAAGCCTCGAGGCTATCTGCCTTAGGGAGGGATGCCTTTCGTGGAGGACTTTCTAAGGGAAACTGGCTCGTATACACGTTACACATGGCGAAAACCACGAAAACGCCCATGCAGCCAGCCCGTACGCGGGATTCGAACAAAAGACCGAACTACCAGTTTTCAGCGTCTTTACCGCTCGGCCGCTGGTGGGCCAATGAGATAAGAAACGGTTCATGGATTTACTGCTGCAACATTGAAAACGTAAACACGTGCATGCGTTAATACAAAAGTGGAACTTCTGCGGAAAGATGGAAGGCAGTGCGATCCTAGTTTATAGCAAAAGCGTATGAATGTGTTATGATATCCGGAGAAATAAGAAAAGTGTTAAAATTTCAGCAAAGGATTCTAACATGGAATCCGAAACCAAAAAATTGTTTATATGAGGCGGAAATCAACAACTTGATGCGTCTGTACGAGTGGTTCCGGCAGCGTCCAGAGTGATGGGGGGGTACAATTAAGACTGCTCCTGAGAGAAAAGGGGAAGAGATTCATTGTGATTAAAAAAAAGGAGCCAATGAAAGAATAAATTAAAGAATTAATATAAAATGAAAAAAATAATAATAAAAAAATTAATCAATCCTAAATTATTGATACTGTATATAATAATTTATTAAATGTATCATATGCTTATTATTTTGCCTTTAGCTTGAATATATGATTTTCTTTCTTCCGAAAATCCGCAAAACCTAAAAATCCGACAACCCCTGATCCCAAGCTTTGCGGATTTCTGGACTTTTACTGTATATGCCATTAGAATTATCAAACTAATAAAGGTATATCTTAATGGATAATGTAAGTGCTTGGAAAATATGTACTTTAGTGTAATTTAGTATCTGTTAGCATCAAAATACAACTAATGAAGAATTTTAAATGTGAAATTGTTAAAGAACAGAAATATACTGGGAATTTATTTGTAGACTTTGATGTTAAGATTTAAAATTGAGTTCTAAAAGAAATAAGTAAGATACATTTTGCTCAATGGTAGATCTTCGTGTAACTTTTGTACGAACTATTAAAAATACATATGCTGTATCTCTGTTGACATGCATTTGCAGCAGAATGAAGGAGGCGATGATAGTCAGAGCCAGGAGAACATAGATGATGAACAGCAGCCACAACCTCAGAGACCCGTAAGAAGACAGTTACGTCGTCCTTTCTTCAGGCAGTATTATAGGGGTCCATCAAGAGGACCTCCACGAAATGTTGAACGTGATGGGAATGAAGTAAGAAATTTCATAACCTAGCATCATTACATTGCATAATATTTCAAGTTTGTTGGGTATATTATTGTAACTTATAAGTAGTTTTTCTTTTCCTTTTTATGTTGCCGAATTTATGATAATATATGCATTAATTCCCATAAATGTTCTCAGACTTGCAAGTTTTAATGCAGTGAATCTCATTACTAAAGCTAGTTTTCAAGTTATAAATAACTGTAAATTCAGTCTTGAGAAATTCAGATTTTGTTATCATAAAATAGGAATGTTCTGCCATTAAAGAGGTAATAGTATAAGACTTGTGAAAATTATTTTTAACATAAATGAAGAAAAGACAAATGATGAAGGATAGATTCGGATGCTCTTGGTGTGGTGACTCAATAGGTGAGCATGAAAAACTTGAGGAGAATAAAACTGAACTTACGTTACAAGTATCCTTTATATTTGTGATTATATTTTTGCAACCTATGTGGCAACACAGTTTCCCCCCCCCATACCAAAGTCGAAACTAAATAAACAACTTTTCTTCCTTATATGCAACGTCAGATGGTGAATCATACTCCCGGAAATTGCTTCCCCCCCCTTTCTCTGCATTAACGTAACCTATGGTGCGCGTGACAGTACAGACAGGTAGGTGCACGTCGTTCTATTGGTCAAAGAATTGCGAAAACGATAGAAAATTCCTGTACATTCTGTGTCTTTTCCTCCCACCCAAATATAACACATTGAATTTCTATCAAGATTTAATAATTAGCATTCCGTTCCACGTGGTCAGTTCATATTCGTTTTTATTTGATCGTTATATCTTATTATGCATATGATGACTATTTATAAATATAGTTTGCAGTAACTGCTGAAGTATAGATATAAACTTCCAAAAGTGGATGTGTTTTTACCAGATTAGCTTTAAGGAATAATATTCGGAATCGCTTAAATTAAAAGAAAGTAGTCGAATAGTCAAAAATATTTTTTTTTTTTTTTTTTTTGCCAAACCTTATACAGTACGGAGGTTTGGAGGTTTCATTTCTCTGAAATCTATAATATTGAAGCAGCGGACTTTTTTTGGGGGGGGGGGCACTGTCGAATCTGGATTGTATGAAACTAAAAGTTTTGCGGTCTACCCAACCCAAGCGAAGATTAATTCTATTTCGGAAATTTAAAACAGTCTGTTGAAAATGGAATCAGAAACACCCCAGATTATCAAGTCTCTTTCTTTTCTTTATTTTACTTCTTTTCTTGAATACGGCAGCTGTTGATTCCGATTGCGTATATCACATATGTAAGAATTACCGCTTGCATGTATTGACGCAATAACGTTTGTGCAGAGATAATTTTGATGTTCAGTCTGAGATTTATTTGAAACACTTAAAGAGTTTTACTGTGTTCTAAGCAGAATATATCTAAGTTCGTTGGTCTATTTTTTATATGGTGCACATATTGAAATGTCAAATCATTTATTAGCTGAGAAACTAAAGAACGGCTACAATCTCCCCTTTTCAGTTAGATCTGGCAATTTCAGGTGCGGGGGGTTAGTAGCTTTTACGTTAAAGATCACTACATGAAGCAATTCCCGTCTTCTGTTTCAAAAATGTGCCTCGTTTTTACTTTAAATACTTTGCTTGGAATATAGTAAGAGAAAACTGTTATGCAATGAAAATTTAGAAAATGTTCAAATTTTGATTTAAGTAAATATTTAAATATAATATGGTGAAAAATAAATTGTATTTATTATAGGTGCCAAACAAATACATAATATGGCTATTATTATTTATTTTATTTTGAACTGAAATTTCACATTAAATCTTCTAATTATAGTTAGTTTGCATAGATTTTTTTTCTCTCATTGTAAAAAATCGTAAATTGAACTGTCATTTAAAATTTTAAAAAAAGTTTTTTCCATGGTGAGGTAATGCTATTTCTAATAAATATTGCATGCTCATTTTTAAATACAAGTATAATTTTCTTTTAAGGTTATGCAAGGTTGTATAATGTAATTAGACAGGTGATTATTTTTTTAACTAAAATGTGGCTACGAACTCTGTTTTAGTTGTCCCTATAGTGCCTTTTACTGTGTTCTTTTTGTGTGCTTAATAAATATATGTTAATACAGATGATGCTTTTACTTTAGTCTCCATTTGTAACATTAGACTGTATCAGGTTATTGTAACATGATTTTTTAACTGGGCAGAAAAAATTTAGAAGTGAAGTGGAGACATAAGTTAGCGGCAGTTTCTAAGCCTAATATCTCAGTTTGTAAGCCTCATATAAGATGGCAAATTATTTCACAAAAATGGAAACTTCAAAGATATCAGCTAAGCCATTCTGCAGAAAAAATTATTGTCCTATTTGGAAATATCGACTTAAGTTCATGTTAAGTTATCACAAATTATAGAAGGAAAATTAAAAAAGCTGGTGGAGCCTGATCAAGTTGGCAAAGAGATTCGAAAGATATCCAGAGATTATGTGAACATTTTTAATAAAGCCAATAATTGTACTGTGATGGTTCTTACTAACTCCATGACTGAAAATGTTTCACAAAAGGTAATGAGATTTGACAACGCAAGAGAAATTTGGCTTGAACTTCGAAAATATTCAAAGATTCATTCAATAACCAACTTTACAATGGATGCTTACGGTTCTTCAAATTCACTTGGTCTGATGATGATATGGCAGCTGATTTATCAAAATTTAAAAAACTGAATAGAGAATGTGAAAATAAGGAAGAAAACAGACTCCTAGAAATGCTGTTAATCTGTAAAATATTGGATATTTTTCCTCCCAGTTATTATACTTTCAAATCGAGTTGGTTACTTCTTAGTGATGAAAAGAGAACTCTAGATGAATTTACCACACAATTGTGCACCCATGAAAGAATTAAAAAAAGATCAATATTTTGTAGGAACTCTAAATCAGGAAGCATTAATAGCAAATTAATATCTAAACAGAAATAAGCCTTTAACCAAAAAAAAAAAAAAAGGCAAGTGTAATTATGGCCATCAGAGAGGACACTGGATCAGAACATGCAAGAAGTGGAAAGCTGATGGAAAATCACCAAAACCTAGTCTACAGGGCCAAAAAAAGGAGGTAAGAATGATGTTGCTGCAAATATGACACTGCTAGCTGAAGATGAGCAATATTTTCTGCTGAAACAAATTCTGATGATTGGTTTATTGACAATAGGGCCTCGAAACACATCGTCAATAACAGTCACTACTTTATAGACTTAGATAAACTTGAGCTTCCTCGCAGAATCATTGTAGTAAATGGAAAGTCATGACTGGCAGTTGGAAAAGGCACTGTTAAAATAAAGAGCATTGTAAATAGGATGATTCAAATCAAAAATCTTGAAAATGTCTAGTATATTTTAGAAATAAGTAAAAATACATTTTACGTGTTAGCAACTCAAGATAAAAACCAGAACAGTATGTTTGAATAAACATTTAAAGACTGCTGTTTAAAAATTCATGCCAAAATAGTTCTGCATGGTACAAGCAATGCTGGTGGGGATCTCTTCAAAGCTATGATGAAGACCTTACTTCCTGAAACTCACATTGGCATAAATGTGACCAAACTGAAGAATCATCTCTTCAACTTTATCATAAGCGATGGGGTCACCAAAATGAAAAGCATGTAAAGGCCATTCTTGAAAAAGAGTTGAGCATAAGATTATGTCTGATATGAAATTATGTGAAACCTGTGTATATGGAAGAGCACATGTTTTAAAGTTCGGAAACACAAAAGAGGTTACAAAAGCTGGAGAATTGTTCTGAACAGATATTTGTGGGCCATTTTATGAATCATTAAAAAAATATTGATACTTCACAATCTTCAAAATGCCTACACCAAATTTCAATACTGTTTTTTCTTAAAGCATAAATCAGAAGTAAAGGATGTGCTTGAAAATTTGTCAGCACTTCAGTGTACATACTGAATAGAAAAGGCAAGTGTTCACTTCCCAGTTCAAGTCCTTATGAATTATATATGGAAAAGAAGCTTAGAATAAAATGTGTATGCATTATTGGATCAGCCCCCTCTTCTGAATTGCCTGTTATGCAGTTCAGAAGAGGGAAAAGAGGGACAAAAAGGCAACTAAAGGCTATCTTCTTTGGTATGATGGAGATGAAAGGTACCACATTTACATCAAGGAAACCTGCACAGTAATCTGTTCCCGAGATCTCATATTTGAAGAAAAACCTTCTCTGACAAGAAATATTATAACGTTGACTCACTAAAAAGTTTCTGAAAGAAATCTACAGTGGTGAAATAAATTAAGAGAATTTGCATATTTTATCGAGTTGCATGAAAAGAACAGAACTGAAGGAAAAACCACTCCTTCTAGATAAAAATTCAAATCTTGTACGGTAAATTCGTAAGCTAAATGTGTTTGTAGGCAGAGCCAGCAGAAAAACAGACTTTATGAGGCGCGTGGAGGGTAAGACGAATTGCGTTCGCTAGCACACCTGGGCGAATTTCATGGTGTTATTATGCAGCAATCTGTTTAATTCCCATCGGAAAAATAACAATGAGTAACGTTAGGTAACTTACGTTTTAACGTTTAACCACCAACGTTTAGGTAATGGCTTAAATGAGGTGGCGAATTCTGAGGAGGCTAGAGGCAGCTCAATCGCAAGTCCAGATATGCAGAGAAGTTTAACTTAACGCCCAACGTTGTGTGTAACCTATGAAAACATTTCTAGGATACTGGATTCATCGAGAGAAAGCCTGGGCAAGATCGTTCAAGAGACAAGGCGGCCAGAGAAGACCGCTAATTGTCAATTTTAGCGAGGCATAACAGAGGGGCTACAGCCTCTCAGCTCTCTTGGGACCACTATGCAGCCACAGGAATCAAGGGTGACTGTTTCCAAAACACTGAATGAGAGAGGGTTGTTTGCCAGAAGACCAGCTGTTTGCGTCCCGCTCATGTCTACGGACAGGAGAGTCTGATTAGCATGGTGCAGGCAGCATAGTGATTAGAGTACAGAGCAATGGACAACCGTTCTGTTCACCAAGGAGTCCCGGCTTAGCCTAAACACCAATTCTTGCCATATTTTCATTAGGAGAGAGCCAGGGACTAGCTACCTACCCTCCAATGTCCGTGAAATCAACAATTATGGCGGTGGCGGTGTAATGGTCTGGGCAGGCGACATGTTGGATGGCTGCACACCTCTCCACGTTTTTGACAGAGGCTCTGTAACTGGTGTGAGGTATAGAGATGAGGTCTTGAAGCCCTATGTTCGCCTTTTCCAGGGTGCAGTGGGCCCGAAGTTCATCTTACAGGAAGATAACGCGAGGCCACATAGAGATCTTCTGGTCGACCAATTTCTTGAGAGTGGGGATATTCTCCAGATGGATTGACCAGCCAGGTCTCTAGACCTCAACCCTATAGAGCATGTCTGGGACACTCTGGGGAGAGCAATTGCTACTTGCCGTCTGGGGAGAGCAATTGCAACCTCCGTGAACCATCCAGGAACTGAAAACAGCACATTGCTGAATGAGTGGGACCAATTGCAACAGGCACTGATAAACTGCCTTAATTCAAGTATGGCATCATGCTGCGAGCACTGTATGGCTGTAAAAGGGGACCATACCCCCTATTAAACTTTTTTTTTTTTTTCTCTTCTGCAACTGATGTTTCAGACCTTCAGACTTCCATGAGTGTTACACACGAACACATGTGTCTTTAATTTTACTGTTTTGTTTATTCATAAGAGAGACACATTATATCCATAATTATTTTATTTATCAGATCATTTCATTATTTAAAATGAGAAATATTATAATCCTCTATCCATGTTATCATTTAGAAAATAATAACCTACTAAACTTTAAGGGGGGGAAAAACATTAATATTTTGCCTAAAATATTCTTGAAATATAATTTTCAGGATGAACAAAATGAAAGGAAAAATGAAGAAAGAATTCCAAGAGGTGGAGGAGGGAATCGTCGGGGTCCTAGACGATTTTATCAACGGTACTTTAAAAGGAAACCCCGCCGTCCTAGAAGTGACACTGAAGGCAGCCAAAGTGGAGTAGAAGGAGAAACAACTAACAAAGTAAAACAAAAATGTTACCTCTTGAAATCTATTAATTATTTACTTAACTTCTAAAATTCATTAATAGCAGTTACTTTTGGTGTTCCAAGTAAAAAAAAAAAAAAAAAAAAAAGAGAGAGAGCTTTAAAATAACATTCTCAAGCCATTCAATTCAAATCAATCTTTGTAAATCTCTAACCGCATTTGTTCAAGAGCAGTATCATCAAAGCCTCCTCCTTGTCATTGATATATTTATTTACGTATACATGTACTATATGATTTATTAGGTCTAAATTAAATTGAAATTATTGGAAATTTAACATCATATAAGTATTATTGATACTTTGTTATATATATTACAAATATAGATAATTGTTTTCTCTACCGCCCTTAGTGAAAGAAAACGGTGTGGGTACAATTTGAGCTTTAAGAAAGGGCCATTTTTTGCCAAATGTAATAACGAACGAACAAAAACGAAATTGACTGTGGTAAACAATGAATTGGCTATCCATTCAATATCTATACAATATAACTTAATAGGTATATATGTGTGTAAAAATTTATATTGAATTACATAAAAATGGAAAAAATTAATAATTTTTTTATTTAGTATAGTTTTTAATGCAAGTATGTCAACAATACAATTATGTAAGCAATTTATTTAAAATAACATATACAAAAAAGCTGGAATATTCTGTTTATTGTTTTGTTTAATACACTTCGGTTAGCAGTTCATTTAAAAAAATACAAAAATGTACTGAAAAATTCATGTTTCAGACTCTTTCTGGTGACTTAAACATCAACTATAGCTTTTTTTTTTTTTTTTTTTTTTTTTTGTGTTTTTGTGTGGTGTGTGTGTGTGTGCTGATGGAAGATTGAAAATAATAAGGGTAATGAACACTTTGCAATTAAAAAACTGATATACAGAAGCAGAAAGCAGTTAATCGTTTGCTTCTCGCAAATGTATCAGTAACAGTGTGTTTCTTGCCAGTGCAGAAATGCCAGATCCATTTTCTTGCCAAAGCGTCTGCAGAAGACAAGTACCACAATATATTTGCAATTTTATACATTTGTATATTACAGTGTTCATTTAATGGGACATGTGACATCTTGACAGGCGAAATTCAACTATTTAGAGACAAAAGTTATAAGCATATAACTTTTCTCAAAATAAACTAACTTATATTCTATATTCTTTTTACTTCCTTGTACAAAGTAAAAAGGAAGTATTGTAATTGCGAAAAATTTCAGGCATCATATTTCAACGCAAATATCCATTTTCACCACTGTCGAATGCAATTTAACGATGTTTTTGCGTTTTTGCGTGACATCTGTACGTAAGGACAGGATAAAGAACTCTTTAACCCCAAAAGAATTTTAAATGAATTCTAAAGAGAATTTTTCGTGGCGTCTGTGCGTATGTATGTATGTATCTGGCATAACTTAAAAACGAGTATCCTCAGAATATTGAAATTGTGTATATAGAACTGGTATAACATGTAAATGTGCACCTCATATTTTGGTTGCAGTCGGCTGCACCAAAAGTATATAAATATATGTATGTATATACCCACTCTGTTACTTGGCTCAGTTTCTTTATGTTTGTAAATTGTGCATTTTTTGCTTTGAAAAGGATTGAATTATGTTGTTCTTATCTTACGGTTAAGGTTTTTATGCCTTTAGTAAATCTGTATGCTATATTTTTAGAATTATCAACAATTTTAAAGTTGTTTAACCCCTTCGTGCCGACTGTCACGTCTACGTGCCAGCAACGAACACACTCACTTCCCGGCCGACATGCAGGCGTGCCAGAGCATTTTCCCGTTCACTACCGACTGTCACGTATTTGTGCCAGTGTCCTGGAACGCTTTAAAAACTATAATTTCTGCCACAAGATGGCACTGTATGTCCATATGGTTTCAGGTACATGTACATTAGACCTTCTACTCGAAATGAGAGAAGCATGACTCACATACACGTTTTTTTTTTTATTATATAAACAAAAGGGCAAATAAATGTTTCTGAATGGAGTAATTTATGACGTCTCTTTAGATCGCACTTTATTCGCACGTGGTAGTTGTTTATTGTAAGTAGAGAAGTTTTATTTGCGCTAAAGCATTGAGTATTTCGGTTTGCAGTTCAGTTTTTAGAAAATAATTAGATCTTGTTAGAGATGAATTTTTTCTGTTTTTACCATTGCAATGTCGAAGCGTCGAAAATGTTTAACAGAGCATGAAATAGCAGAAATGATGCAAAATATTTCAGATATTGATTCTAAAATTCTGATATTCTGATATTGATTCTGAAAGATTAACTGAAACACATTTTCCAAAACTTTGTTCAGAAGAGACTGATAAGAAAATGAGACGACAATGCTTCGTTTGTTCACATTCCGGAAAAATCCTCAAAACGGCAAATGAGTTATTATGAAGTGCAAGGAATCTAACATAGGACTGTGTGTAGATCCCTGTTTTCAAATTTTTCATACGAAAGAGAATTTTAAGTAATATATTTAGTTTTCATATGTATAATGTTAAAAGTCAATAAATGGTGAGTAATGGAAATAAAATGTGTAAAATATGCATTTAAACAAGAAATAAGGTAATATTAAAGTATATAGTATAAAAATATCTATAAAGCATAAGCCGTTTAAATACTCTATAGAGCATTATTAAACAATGCGTTGATACTTCGGAAATTTCATGGATTTAGGCTTTGTAGCAAAAAAGCCCCAGGCCCTGGACAGACGCTCGCGTAAAACACTGCCGCCCTCCTCGATATGCGCACGTTTGCGCTACCTGGCTCGAAGGGGTTAAGTACTGCTAAGCCTAATAATTTTTTTGATGGCTGCCATTGCTTGTTTACATTTGAATCACTTGTGTACATTGAATGACATTACATCGCTTGTAATTGCTACATTTGAAACAGCAGAATAGTAGATTTGTTGCCAATCGGGAGAAAGTAAGCTTCGCAATAACAAAGATAATGCCTTCTTTTATTATTGCGAATTAAATCGTGCTTAATCCATTCTGGAATTTATTCGAGGAAATAAGTGTTTAAGATTTACTTTAATTTTCAATACAGACATCTTGAGTTTTAATGTATTTTTGCCTTGTTGCGAAGTGAGAACTGAATTAATTGAATGAGAAATACTGAATCCTCTGTGAAAAAGTGTTTCTTTCTTTTTGGGTTGTTCTTTGCTTAATTTCTTTTATACATTGTTTTAAATTTATTATAGTATTTAAATAGAACATGTGGCAATGATTAGATAATTCTTAAGATGATATGAATTTTGTGCATTCTGAATTAAAAAATGAATGAAATGTAACACTGTTAAGAGAACCTAGGGCTGGAGTGTCACTATGGTAAACAAATATAGGGAATTTTAAAGAGTGCATTTATTCTATTGTGGTTTATGTGCTATCAACGAAGTAGATTGAGTTCAACCCAATAAGTTTAAATGAAATGCAAAAAAAAAATTGGTATAATTTAATATCCCGTAAAGGAAGTCATATGGTGCACACATCAGATTTTTTTCGTTTAAAATAGACAAAATGTAGATTATATAAAACAAATAAAATACAAAATAAAACCCTAGTGTTTTTAAAAACCAATTTTATTTCTCTTACCTTTGACAAATCTTTTGTGACAGTGTGCTAGTTTAGTACACTTTTCTTAAAGAATACTGCACCAAATTCCTTCAAATGTTGCATGATAGTTAAAAATATATCATTTAAGAATAATAAGTAGTATTTTACATTTTACTTAAAAAATATTAAAAATAAACTAGTAAAATGTTTTGAAAATCATATAAAATATAGTACAGTCAAAAGTCGTTAATCCGGACTCGTCGGGACTTCGGCGATTCCGGATTATCGATTTTTCCGGATTATAGATCATCAGTTTAAATCTCGTAAGATGGCATGCAGAAATTCTAAAATTAAAAATATGAAACCGTAATTTATGAAATAAAGAACAATTATGATCTAAAGGGTATCAAAATTTACAAAAAAAAAAGCTTAATATTTATTTGTTTACTTTATTAAACATTTCTTTCAATGTAAGTTGTTTAAGTTGCTTCATTTTATGTGATACTAATACTTTCTCTTTAATTCTATAAACAGACATAATTTCTTTTCAGTTAAAGAGTTCTGCTGTTCAAGTCCCGTTAATTGCTGTGCCGAGAATACCGACTAACTGGTCAATGGAAATTTTTTCGTTTTCACTAACCTCTCTGTCACTTTTTTCGCTATGGAAAATTTATCCTTTTTTTATCAGCAATTTCACATTTTTTTGTTTTTTTTGACAACAACTTTCTTTTGTGTTTGTTTTGGATTTCAAAACATACTTTCGTTTAGATCCTTTGGAAGTTCCAGCATATCGGAAATTCTATTTGACATAATCGAAAGTTCAAGTTTACTTTTATAAAATTGCTCTTACAGTCTGCAAAAAATAATAAGCGGGATCCTATTCGAAGATTAAGGAACAACGCAATCATTAACATTAACTGAAATAGATAATTAGATAATTTAGCCTACACCGTCCGTTATACATTAAACGCGCAGGCGAAAACGTATTCTGCGCTTGCTCACACGCATATATGCGCAGTAGTCAAGTTCTTACGCGCTCGCGTAAAACGCCTGTGCGCATGTGTAACGCGGCACATGCGCAGAAAGTTTTTAGCTTTGAGGTCCGGATTATAGATCATTCCGGATTATAGGTGTCCGAATTAACGACTTTGACTGTATAATTTTATATATCCAGAGTAATACTGTAAATTTATTCCGCATGTTTCGAAAAGTAGTTTATAAACGCTGTGGAAAATTAAACCTTAGGCTAGTTCAAGAACTGACTGAAAGTTTAAAAAACAATTTGAAAAAACATTTAAAACCAATAATTTATTAAAAAAATATTTTAATATTTTCCTGCACAATAATCATCTTGAATTGACATTTCTTCATCACATTGTTGTTATTTTATTAATTTATATTTCTTTCTGGCCATTTTAGAAAACTTTTGGTAAGCGAGATGGGCCTCACGAATTCTATCACAATCTATTTTTGGCAAGGACTACTTACCATATAGACTTTACCAAATCCTGGTTGTATTTCTTATAATTTCGTTACTTTATTGTGGATTTGTACATCATCATTAAAACATATCTCATATATCTAACCTAATTTTAATGTGATGACCCTCATAAAAACAGTTTTTGGTATGCGTGTCCAGATGCAATTATGAGAACTTCCATTCAGTTTTGAGTTCTTCCATGAATCCATGAATGCAATTTGATAGTAGTTTTTTTGGTAGAAAGACTTATGAACATAGTTAATAAAACAGGGTCTGGCAAAGAAGTTTTTGAACATTCTTTTTACCACCTGATATAACTTTATTGTGGACATACCAGACATCTATATCTTCTGAACTGGTGGACTTTCTAGTGCTTGTTTACATTTTATAATGAAAGATTTCGGTCTTTTAAAATTTTGAAACCTGCATAAATTATATATATTTAGAATCATTACAGTATACTTTATTTTTGTAGCCCAAAATTGAAAATCTTTGTCATATGGCCCCTTAAGGCCTATATTATAATTTTATATCTCAATAATCATATATCTGTTCTAGTAATGTATGCAACTTTCTGAAAAATATGTTGCAACATTTTCTTTATCTCTTCATTAATTCATCTGGATGATTTATATTATTATTTATAAGGAAACAGAGTTTTTGAATGTTATATTTAAATATCTTATTATCTGCTGTTTCTCAGTATTTCTGCTTGAGAAGTTTTCAACTTAATTTCCCCCCCCCCTGGAGAAAGGAATGATCATATGATGAAAATACTTAACACTGTAGGGGGGATTTCCTTTATGTGTTATTTATTAAATAATGTGATTGTCATATACTTCAGTATCTGGTAGACAATCATGTAGTTCATGTTTGTTTATCGTTATTCAACTTGGGAGCGAATGCTGTAAGGATTATGCTTCAAGTTATATATCCCTACAATCAAATTCTATCTTTAATGACCATGATAGGATTAAGGAACTTCTCTCTGCAGATTCTTGTTTAACAGTTTTCAACATGTTCTATGCAACTTCAAGACATTGTTATCTGTGTTCCTAAAAGCAACATGAAGACAAATTTAATAACTGTTTGTCATAAAATTGCATGCTTAGTACTGTTTATTGCTACAAATAAACTGCAATTTCTCTGATAGTTAAGCAGTAATCCTTCATGATCAAAATCTGCACTTTATGGGTGATCTTTGTGTTGTGGTAAACTTCTTAAAACAGTATCTCTCTGTTCTGACCTTTTGTTTTCTCTAAACCAACTGCCATTGTTATATTGTTGTAAACACTGTGCATTATCTCCAAATTCCTGCCAAAACATGTGATTGTTCTTGCTTGCATATTGCTAAGCTTCTGACCAAACTTCATGTAGTATTAATTTGTCTTACATTTTATGATATCATTGGGAATGGAACGATGATAAATGCAAACAACACAATTTGTTACCTGTCTTTTAGGTAATAAAATATACTGTAATTGCATCACATAATGGGCACATGTGTCAAAAGTCCCTACCACTTCCTGCAGTATTATGATCTTGCACTGGGTACTTTTTGAGCAGGTTTGTGTACTTGATAGTCAAGATGCATAAATCATTTGTTTGCAAATTCTGTTTGAAATACTGCTAGTTTTAGAGGTTCCATTCAGTGTTATTATGGGCTATATGCTAAGTAATAATATTTCCCTAGCTTTATATTTAAAGTTATTTATTTCACTCTTTAAATACTCATTTTAAAATTTAAATTAAATTTGTTGATTAAATAACATGAATATTTAATTCACAAAATTATTTTCTTATTATTGATTTTTATGATTATTCTTTATTATTTTTATTTTATTTATTTATTTGTAATACTTAAAATTTTTTAAAAATTTTCTTATGTTTGCCTATATTTCTAATACTTTAACAGGATACAGAAGCAGATGAAGAAGAACGTCAGCCACGTGGTCAAGGCTCTAGACCTCGTCCGCCTTACAGACCAAGAATGGATCGTCGAAGGCCCCGCCGAGGTGGTCCACATACTAGAGCCAGATCTTTGGAAGCTAGCATTTCCAGAAATGCAAAAGGCGATGATGGTGAAGAAACAAGTGGCAGGTCTGGGCCAGCAGAAGACTGTGAGTCAAAATCTGATGATCCTGGTCATGTTACTGAAAATTCAAGTAGTGTTAATATTTCTCCTTCATCTGTTCCGCAGTCTAATGCTTCTGGTGAACCCAATGACGCACCCCAGACAAATGAAGGATATTCAAATGAGCAAACATCTGCAGAGCAGGTAAAAATTAAAAATATTGATACTTTCTTTTTATCTGCACCCTGGTTTCAACTTTCAGTAGAATTGTACATCTTTGATATATTTTCAGATATAAATGCAATGATAAGGAACTGGTGCATGCATGTATCATATATATATATATTTAAAAATATGCAAATTTACATGCTTTATGTTTACTTGTCATTTTGTTCAACACCATCCGCTAGCTGTACAAATTTAATTACTGACTGTATAATTTTTTTTTTCTCATAAAATGCTTTTTTTAGTATTTTTTAACAGAATACTACCTGTGAGCCATAAAGATAATCAAATGAGTGTTTTTTTCTATTTATCAGTGATAAGTTGGATACTTTTGCGAAGACTGGAAGTAATCTGAAAGTAATAAAATATTTGGGAATTTTTCAGGCAATGTGATTTTTAAATTCTTCATTGGCTTGCCAGCCCAAGGAGAGCCTTGTTGTTCTCTGGGCATCTCTGCTTTTGGCAACTGTTTTTCTAGTTTTTCACATTTAGAATGCATAGGTCATTTTCAACACAATCAATTCATCTTACCGGAAGTCTACTCCGAGGTCTAGTTCCCATGGGCTTTGTTAGAAAGATTTTCTTACAACACCAATTTTTATGCATTCTGGCCAGTTGACCTACACATTTAAGTCTCTGTACTTTGAAGAATTTTGTTTCATCAGGTTGTGTATAGATCTTTTACAACTCTAAATTAGATCTTCTCCACAATCCATTGACACGGATCCCACCAAATATGCAAAATGATATCCTTCTCTCAAGAATGCCCAAAGATTCCTCGTCATTTAAAGTCAGCACCCAAGTTTCAAATGCATAAGTCAGAACAGATCTTGTAAGACTTGTAAAGAAATAATTTAGTTCTTAATTTGAAAAAGATGCTCTTCATAACTTTTCAGACCATGAAAGCATCTATTTGCAGCAGAGATTTGTTTAAGTATTTTAGAATTTATCTCATTTTTACAATTCATCTCCACTCCCATATAAGTGAAAGTGTAGAATTTTCCGAATCTATAGCTACTAATTTCTAAATAACTCAGATTTTAAATGAGGCGTATATTTAGTTTCATTTTCGTTAACAGATAGGTTAAATCTCTTTGTCCTTTTTTCCAATGCCACGAATGGTTGTTCGAGAGCAGGAACAGTACAGGCATGAATGTTGAAATATAAAACATGAATTTTAAATTATTTTATGTAAAATTAATAGATTTATCATTTTGGACATTAGATAAAAGAATGGATATATTCTGGATTTCCTTTAAATATTGCACAAATTCTGCATAGTAACATTTCCTCATTTCAATTAAGTTCAAATAATTGTATGTGTACTAACTACATGTGATTTCTTAAGAAAAATGTGAAAAAAAAAAATTACAGCATCACATCTTGGACTTCCCATGAAGCCACAGTATGCATTGAGCAAGTTTAATAAACTTTTATTTTAAATGCTGTGGAATGAAAATGCTTAAAGTTGTACCTTTATTAGTAAATATGTTAAAGTATTAATGCTGAGGGCTTCTTCATAACAGGAAAGCATCTAAGCAACCAGAACTTTTTTGTTATCTAGCATTAAGACACAATAACAAGCCGAACAAATACTAATTCAGAAGTCAAACAACAAAAATCAGCGTTATATTTTCGAATTTTCACAGGACTAGTTTCGATGGTTTTACTGAACCATCGTCCTTAGCTGTAAAAGCGCAAATGAATTCATTGAAGTCGTGAACAGAAGTTTCACTATATTAGCAGGCAAAATGCATGATAGGGAATTCTTCAGCAGTTTTAAAAACCACTTAACTATTGATTGGTTCTGGTGTTAAGTGATGTGTTATTATAGCTAATGATGATGTTTTAGAAGAGTTACAATGTGAAGTAAAATTATTGTAATTAAGGATATTTCAGTACTTGTTCTGTGCGAATCAAAAGAATGAATGAAGTGCTGCGTTAATTTCTGAAATCCTTAATTTTGTTTCCTGCATCACATCCTTAAAGACTTAATTTTACTAGAGCTTAAAGTTTAAATTTTTTAATATACTCTTTAAATTTTCCATTAAAAACGTCAGTTTATGTGTTTATTATTGCAAAAGATTGACTGTGTATGGCAGTTGTTTCCAAACTGCTTCCCAGAGCCTTTAAGGGCTCCAAGTGTACTTTCCATGGGCTCTTCAGGCATTGCAGGAAAATGATATAAAAGAGTAGCAGACAAAAGATGAAATCTAAATAAGACAATTAGAAAGTATATTCTGAATAGAAATTTGCAAAGCTGAATTTTGTGTCTGCAGATGACATAATCATTCTGCTGCCATTAATTTCAAAATTATTGTTATGTAAGACAGGCAGTCACAGCCAATGCCACCCTATCGCATTTCACATTTTAGTGGCAATTCCTTGAACTCAATATCCAAGAAATATCACTTTCTAGAAATTTCTTTCTCATTCTCAACTCTTTTAGATTCCCTGAAATCCACTCAAAGTTTGTTGAAATTTAGCCCCTGTATAAGTAGAGATTGGCTAGTCGAGTCATGTCACAGTAAATTTAAATAATGGTCACACTGTAATTTTTTAGCAATTTTTTTATGTGTTTGACCTGTTTATAAGGTTTAGTTGTGTAATTAGTAAATATTAACTGCTAAAATGTGTTCATTATTGCAAAAGTCATAAATGTTTTCTTTTTCTATTTGTTACTTAAATCCTTGACTACTATGATCCATGTTAGAGAAACATTATACAGTACAAAATCCGTAATCTGGACATTCATTATCCAGACCTCAAAGCCATAATCTTTCTTTTTTTGTATGCTTTATGCATGCATGTTAAATATGGACAGTATAAAGCTAGGCTATCTTTACTGATTCTAAGGCATTTCAGTTAATGTTGCAGATTGCACTCTTCCTTAATCTTCTAATTGGATCTGGCTTATTATTTTTTGCAGACTGTTAGAGCAATTTTATAAAAATTAAGCTTGAACTTTCGAGTATGTGAAAAAGAGTTTCCAGTTCTGGATATGCCAAAGAATCTACAAAGCAAAAGCATGTTTCAATGTCAATCAAACAAAAAGTGGAATTGCTGCAAAAAATGGATAAAGGCATATCCATCTCAAAATTATGCGAGGAGTATGACATTGGAAATTCAACTGTATATGACATAAGCAAAAAGAAAAAGGAACTTTTTGAATTTTTTGTGGAAGCATCTTACACTGAAAGAAATGTTTAATAAAATAAACAAATAAATATTAAGTGGTTTTTTTTTTTTTTTTTTTTTTTTTTGTTTGTAATTTTTGATACCCTTTAGACCATAATTGCTCTTTATTTCATAAATTACGGTTTCATATTTTTAATTGTATAATTTCTGCATACCATTTTACTAGATTTAAAATGATGACCTATAATCCGGAAAAACCCCTAATCCAGAATCACCGAAGTCTCGACGAGTCCAGATTACGGACTTTGTACTGCATTATTTTAACAAAGAACACTTTTGTCACATTTGATGGAACTGTATCGCAGAGGTAGCAAAATTTCTGATGGGCCATAATGCGCTATTAATGGGTGTTTTACTTGATAGCTGTTTTCAGATTGGTTTATTTGGCCAAAATTTTTAGCAAAATGAATCTTATGATTGCAAGGGGAAGGTGCCAAAGTATTGTATTCTATCAAGAAAATATATTGGTGTGCATGGGAAGAGATGTTGATAGCTTGCTATTACAAGAAAACTTTTTCAATGAAAATAATATCACTTAAAATCTGTTATTGTAAAAATGATTTGATTTACTGAGCTTTGAATGCACGTTAGTGTATGGCCAAATTTTGACATTTTGTGTATCGAGAATAAATTGAAATATTTTAGTACATTTTTAAAAATATAGTTTCATTGTATGAATGTTTAGGTAACTCTTTACTCTCCCTTTTAACTCCATAACATTACTTCTAAACACCATTAACATGTAGGACAGAGGATAGATCTAAGGGGCTTTGTCACAGAAATTGTTACTAAAAAAGAAGTTAAAAAATGTTGGGAATCACTGATGTATTGATAAGATTTATGTGTAATAATTATAGAGTTCTACTGCTAAAATGTTATATATTTTATTACATGTGTAAAACTGAATTGTGTATATATTTAATTATTTAACTTTATTTTCAGAGTGGTGTAAAATGTGAAAACTCTTCTTCTGTAGATGCTTCTCCAAATGAAGCAATAGTTTCTGCTTAACAAATGGAGAGTTCCATCATTCTATACTTCTTTGAGTCTGACTAGACTGCCTGCTTATCATGTCATTAACAACAGTTGAGATTTTGAACTTACTACTTTGTAATTGTTACAATGCTGTGATTTGATTGCATTCAAACAGCCAAAGGCATAGTTTTACAACAGGTAGATTGTCAGATTGGTTCTTTCAGAGAGCTAATCTGAGAGTGCTAAGTAGTCAGATTGATCCTGAAAAGTTTTAATTTGCTACAGTACTTGTTGAAATTTTATTTTTTCTTATACAAAGCACGTTTTTGAACAGAACTAACATTATGTATGTAATTTTGGCCTTTGTTGTTTGAAATATAATTTATTTTTAAAATTCTGACATATATTAATGAAATGTAGCGTTGTTTGACTTTATTTTGACTGAAAGCAGACACTTTGTATACTTGAAACAGAAAGTTTATAAAAAGGAATTTGGAATAAAATTCTTCATTTCACATAAATTGTTTTAATTTTACTGACTGAAAATAACTTGTATGCTTTTTTTTTTTTTTTTTTTTTTTGAAAGAAAGGTTTTTGAACAGCGAATAATATGAGTTTTTACAATGTGTCATTTTTGCAGGATGTTCATGTTACAGAAATTTGATGTGTTTTAGTTAGGTGGGGTCAGGTGGGTTAGTTAGGTTTAGTTATGTGTTTAGTCAAAGATATCATTTCAAAATTTTACCAAATACATTTTAAATATTATATGAAAAGTGAAGTTGTATTTATTATAGGTTGAATGAGAAGAGAAAAGCTTTAGTAATTAAAGTTATCTTGAAAAATTTTAATATGTTAAATAGTCAGTTTCTAGGGTCATATGATGTCGCATAGTTGAAGGGACATAAACATTACATGCATATATGTCATCGTAATAGGAGTGAGGACAGCTTAATATCTTTCTTCCTGTTAGAATGAGTTAACATATGGTTGTATAATTCTGTGGGCTTTTGACACAGCTAAGTGTCAAAAGTGATAGTAAAAGATAAATATGATAATGGTAGTGCTTAACTGAGTTGCTGGCAGGTAAGTGTAATTGTGCTTTCTTTAAATAGTTTGTGTGTTGTGAAAGGATTTTACAATCACGATGTGAAATTTTATGATACATTGTCATAGTATATGAACAATATCCAGCTAGTCTTATAACTGTGCATGCAGAAGCTGCCAGTAAATCATTCTGTTCAGACAATGACCAAAAGAAAAGAAGTGTCTTAATAAACTTTGTAAAACATTCTGAAGGTAAAAATAACATAGCTAGCTCAATTATAATAAAATTAAGGTACTACTTAGGTGAGTTATCACCACCAGAATTTGTGACTCTAAACAGGCACAAAAATAAAATCACTTTAAATGTATTATACCTCAGCACTTGTGTGAGGTTAAGTTAAAATATACAAAGTTGCCAGCCAACTGAATGTGACTTAAGCACAAGCTGCTTTCTCAGTTGTTACACAATTGATACTTTTACCTAGACCAAGACATAAATTTAAACATTTAAGGTACTAAATCTCAGTACATATTTATTCTACAGTTCGAAACCAGCATTGGAATTACAACAGCATATACTTCACCCCGCAAGACAGATGCAACTAGCAAGCCAAAATTTTCTCCCACAGATATTTATAAGTCCTCTAAATTTTACAGTAAATATGCTTGCCACTCAGATCTGCATTCTGAACTAAGTGGCCCTTGTAGGGAAATGAAGTAGGAAAGATATAAATTAAATAACTTTTTGCTAGTGAAATGTAGACATAAATACCACATAAGCAAAGAATTCTTGAATATGTTCATTTTTATCCTAACGTTATTTGTATGTTATTATTTGCCTAAATAGCTATATTCACGGTAAACAATGCAGTATATAACAGATAAGAAAATCACTTATATGTTCTTCATATTTTATTCTTCTTTAACTTTGAAAACTTAAGAAAATGCAAATCATCAGATAGAAATAGTATTGGATAACTATGATTACATTTAGTTGTATGCACAAGACTATTTTTTTTGCATTTAGAAAGATTAGGTTAAAGAAGTATTAAGAAATAATTAAGTTTCAGCATTCATTCTCTTAATTTGGGGGGGGGGAAAGAGTAAACTCTGTTTTTTTTTTTTTTTTTTTTTTTTTTTTTTTTTTAAAGAGTTTGCTGCTTGCCTTTTTATTGTCTGCTGTTATGATTAAAGCATCTCATACTAAAATCCCCACTGAGTGATTTAATCAGCAAGTTGAAATAAATTCTTTATTTTCACAAGGTTGGTGAGATTGTCAGCTAATACATTAGCTTTTCTGCAGTATTCTAGTTGGATTGTTTTCTTCTTTTGTTGATCTTTGATATAGTGATGTTTAATGTCATTATGCTTTGATCTTAGCTATGCTTTCCAAGATTGGTTATGGGAGAAATTTCTGTTAAACCTAGATCTTTTGTTTATTTCAGTAAAAGTTGTTCTTGCACTCACTTCATCTACAGAGCCGTATTTTGCTTCTGTAGATGAAAGAGAGCAATATTCTGTTACTTTGAATTCTATATGATGTTTACAATCCAAAAAGTATATCTATTTGTAAATATTTCTATATTTTCTCCAGTGAACATTACACGAGCATGACATAATTGGTTTTTCTTAATGTGATCATTAATTTTATTACATTTTACTTGTATTTTATTAATTTATTACTTTCTTTGCTGCTTCATGGTCTTTTATTCTAGGTTTTTTACTCACTCTGCTTAGTAAATTAACAGCACATGCTATCTTTAGTTGAGTGATTGTAGTAATATATAGTATTTGTGAATAAAAAAAAAAAAAAAAATCAGTTATTCTTAATTCAAATAGCATTAAGTGTAATCTTTTGGCCTATGCGTATCATTAACAAACTCTATTGGATCTATGGAAAGAAAATTTTTTTAATTTTTTTCTCGTCAACATTTAGTACAGTTAACTTAAACCTGTAATCATCGCCAAGTGTAATGTCAACATAAAAGGTTTCCATACTCTTGTTATTCAACTACTAATATAAAAAAAATTGTTTAGGCTTTGCTGCATGAGTCGTTACTCAAATTGTCATGTGTTGATAAACATACGATGATGAAAGCAAAGTATAATAAATAATTATTTGCCAGGGATACAAAATATTAGTAGTTGTAAATAATGTTTCTGTTTGATATGTATGCCAAGCAGATTGATACACAGATTTACGCTAAAATGATTGTTTCTTCAACAACGAGGCTATTTTATTTCATGCTGAAGTGAAATTAAGAATCGGGATTCTCCAAATGTTTTCTTAATGGGGGGGAAAAGAAAGATTCGTATGCCTAGAGTATTAAAAAAAATTCCTTAAAATTTTTTTTTATGACTTTAAGGTACGGATATTGGATGTCCAGAACTCAGACTTTTACTATATATAGTCTTTTGATTTTCCACTAAAAGCTGTATACACTATTATACATATTTGGATTTTGGTGTGGGAGGACAAAATTTATTTTAGGAAAAAGAGGACGAAAAAAGTTCTTGTTTAAAAGATCACAATATTGGCAAATGTCATAATGTTAAATCAACTGAGATTAATTTACATTTTGCTGAAATGGGGTGGACACCTATTGAGCTTTGCTTCTTTTTTCTCTATAGGAAAGAACACTTCCATTATTTTTTAAGATTTTATTTTAAAAGTAAACAATGAAACGTGCATTATTCACGTAAAATTTATATGTTATGAAAAAAGAGATTTCTAGGATTGCAAATCAGTGCGAACCTTCATGTTTATTTCTGTAAGTATGAAACAAAGACAACAGGATCACCTGACCACATGGGGACTTACTCTCCTTGATAGTAAATTATCTCTTTCCAGCAAGAGCAAACTACAGCACATAATTAATATCCTTTTTGGATGATTGTAAGTGTTTTGGCAGCATTTCAACCAATGTTATGTTTGCCATGGTTGAATTAGTTTATTAATCTTCTCCGAACATGTAACTAAATCCAATATATTAGCCATGGGTGTCAAATGTGTTTTAAGAGGAGAGAATTTTTGTCATTGGACTTGTTCTCTATGAATATGTTTATAGTCCATATTTACGTTAACAACAATATGGAGTAATATTCTTTGCATTTGCCCAAGCAGAAGACAAACGTGAGGGGGGGAGGTCTTTCAATAAAAATTGTTCCTGAAAATCATCCCCAATAGCACGTGACATCAAACATGTTGAACTGTGACAATTGGAACGTCACAGTGATGTTATGCAAATGGTTTAATGTCCGATTTTTGTGACGGCACATTGCGATGTTTATACGATCTCGCACAATGTACGTATGATGTGGTGTTGATGGAAAGTCGCATCAACTTTGATGTGTAGTTACACTGCAACATTGAAGTTACATTGTGACGTTGTAAAATTACAATACAATGTCACTGAAGTCACACTGCGACTTTGATATAATGTCACAAAGTGACATAAATCTAAAGGCTCTAAAGATTTGAATGGGTGTCGGACAATATTACATTAGTTTTTAAGTGATCAGTATAATGTTGCAATAGCACTATTTTAGACAATTCCTCCAGTGTAAAATCGATAATTCACAACAATGTGTTAGCAATTAATTAGTTCCTTTATTAAAAACACATTCTGTCAAAACATTAATTGTTAAATACTTGCTTTATTCAGAAACATTGCGGTCAACATTACTGCTCAAAAAACTTACAGTTCAAAATATTATCGTTCTGAAAAAAACTGTTGTTGCCAATCGGGAAAATAAATTTTAAATAAAATTAATACGTTGCGTTTACATTCGGGCATCCTGACTTAGTTACGACCTCGGAACATTAAGAACTTATATTTAAAAAAATTAAATCTGTAATATTAATGTTTATAGTTCGAAAGTCTTTAGCTGTCAATATAGATTCACCGTCGTTTTCTATTCTTTTTTCCGTGTCCTAGTTTTAGTAATATGCGGCATGTTGTTATCGTTATCCTCAGTAACACTAATGTCATCACCATCATCATCATCGTCTTTCTTCTGATTCAGCTTGACACTGCCATGACTTTAATTGGCTCACATGAGCTGTCGTACTAAAGAAATGTCCTTTCCACCTTCTCTTCTAATTGAGTCACTCTATAGGTATCACTTGGTAAAACTTCTGTAACTATCAAAGGTCCTCGATACTTTTGTTGTGTTTTGGTTGATTCTCCAGTTGATTTAGGTACTCTTCTCATAACTACTATTTCTCCTCGTTCGAATGTTAAAGAATTGCTTTTGTTCTTGTCATAATTTGCTTTCATTTTCATCTGCATATCTTCAATTCTCTTTCTAGCTTCATTCTGTAAGATTACTGGATTCTCCCATTCATCTGCGTCTTCGTCTGTAATCATCTTCATCAATCCGTTGTTAAATTTTGGTGAATAACCGTGAAGCATTTCGAAAGGAGTTTTATTTGTAGTCTTATTTATCATATTGTTTAGATTTCTTTCGCATTCCT